TTATCAGACCTAATTTGTCAAAGAAAAACATCAATAAATGATCTGGTTTTGGTTGATATTTATTTAAAGATGCAAGCTCAAAATTCGCTATTTATGATAATAGCATAGTTATGAAATCCTTATCTAAAATAGTATCCAGCTCAAAGTACCTCGGCTTAATCATTTAAAGCATTTGCCTAAAAACAAGAATGCAAAAAGACAAGGTATTGTTCGAATCATGCGGAAGGCGAAAAAGCATTGCATAGGGACAAGCGGCATAAAATAAGTGAAATGAAGCACCAATTCAGAAAAATTACGAGAAAAATAAACTTGTAATATCATTCAAAGTAGGTAAGTGAGACGATAAAGCGATAAATGGATGCAATAATATTCCAAAAAACATCAGTTTCTAGGCAAGATCAAGATGGGAAAATCTATTTAGGAACGCCAAGTTAGGGGATGGGGTGCGAGGACAATACCTATCCACAAGTCCATTACATTGGTCGAGGTTAAACGAGAAGGGAGCATGAGCGTTCGGCACTCTAATCTATGGGGCAGGAAGACGCTACTATACGAAGTGATTCTGGATTTATCAAGTTCAGGTAATGCATCCAAGGAAGATTGGAATGGTGAAGACGAAGATGCAGACGAAGAAGAAAAAAAGCCGTAAGAGTCCCCGGAAACCAGCCGAGAGGCTGCCAGGTCAGCTTCTTCCGAAGTATTAAGAGTTTCAGCAGAAACGCCAGCGCCTCCACCAGCCGCCTGCGGTCCATCAAGCCCATCAGTGGCGCCACATAGGAAATAAATGTTATGAGGGCGATCCTAAGCAATCAAAAAAGAGAATTAAACATTGGATAAAAGTTGTGAGAAAGATATTCATAATGTTGTTTAATGTTGTAAATTTATGTATCAAGAACTTGTTAGGATCTATAGTCACCTTGATTTACTTAAATTTATGAAATCATAATGGCTGTTGTCAAATAAATTAGCAGAGATTTGCATCATCACAATGAATTTTACTTAGCTTAGTATGACTTCGCTTGAAACTCAAAAATCAGCATGGATGATGAAGTCTTTTAGGAAGCAAGGCTAAGTGAAATAAACATGAAAGGTGGTCGTTTCATTGAGGAAAATAAAACTATCAACTATTTCA